GAGTATTATAGCGAGGAAATGGTGGCGTGTCTCGGTGTGATGTCAACACTGTTATATTAGCACAGGTACAATTACAAGTGTAGTCTTGCAACTGTCACGTGTTGGCTTTATTTTTACTAGTTCAATAGGAGGTTAATAGAGGTTAAATTATAATTTATGATAGACTGTAATGACTATTGTATAACCTAACCTCTGATTAGAATGGAGCACTTCACTAGAAAAGTCGATCGTTAGGGAGGTTAAAGGATCTTTCTTACTTCCACAGTCTACCACAGCCAGCACTTACTGTGCACGTTGAGTTGACAGCACTCTGTCGATGGACCCGGCTGAGACCGTTACACTTGGTGGCCGGGCTACCGGCTGGGACTGGGGCGTGAGTAGCTGGCCTTCTTGGTTACAGACACACTCTCCTGAGGAGGCTCGGACGTCCTATATATTGGGAAGGCAGCCGTCAGGTTTGGCTGATCGGGGGGGGTGGCGAAGGATCTTGCATTTGCCCTCGCTAATGTAGGGTCAGGTCTGGACTTTTCAGAGACTATAAGTTGTATCTTCTGGAGAGTCATCAGGTGAGGAAGACCAGGTGGGGGAGGCATAGGTGAGCTTGGGAAGTATGAATGTTGTGTAAACACTGAGGAGCTCGGGTGCAGGAACTCCGAGGGACTTGAGTCGGCGGAGGAGGTGGAGACGGAAACTGGAGGATTTGACAACTTCACTGACGTGTGGTTTCCAATTTAGTTTGTTGTCTATGGTGTGCGTTCGTGCGTGCGTGCGTGTACTCGGGGCAGGCTGGCTAGCGGGCTGGCGGTTACAGCAACTCCTCTCGCTGGCTCACTCAGTGCCGGTCGAGACATGAACGGGGGTGGATGTCAAAACTTGAGCTCTCCCATAGGTCTTAAAAAGGCTCCCCTCTTTTGTAAAAAGTGCAGGAACACGGGGAAACACTTTAAAGACACTAAAGGGCACACACAACACTGAAAAAGCACTTCACAACACTGCACTGTAAATCCAGGAATATCGTGTTGAGGTACGCGCCGAGATCCACTCGACAAGAGAAGTTGACAAGATGGCGGCTCCGAGAGAGATTCTGTGTCCACTCCAATTCTGAATAATGTGATGTCCCAGCTAAACACTGTGCCATGTGGGATACTCAGGTGGTCCTTACACTCAGGGGTAAAGGAAACACACTGATGTCAAGTCCGTAAGTTCTATTTCTGGTACAAACACAAAAAGGAGTTAAGACAGGGGTAAACAGCGTCCTGTCTTGGAATCTCTCTGGGTATCTCTATCTGCGCATGCGCGTACAGCGCGCATGTGCCCAAAGCCTGAACTAACACTTGTGACAAAAGGGAGTTTGATTATAAAACATATAATACAGAGACCTGAATCAATAATGGTAAATAGTACAGAGTTACATATTACAGCCATATTCGTCTCATATATCTACACTAACCTATAATATTATGTCATGGTAATCTTGGTAGCTTGGTGTCATGGTTTCATCAGCGCCCCCATCCCATTCTCATACTTCGACTTACAGCAAATTGGATTTAACAGCATGGTCCAGGTCCCGTCAATGCCGTTGAATTGATGTTCAACCTGTTGTCCTTTGCACAATTTCTCTTATGTTTCCCTTTAGGGTTTTTGGGGTATGAGTATTCCTCTGGTGCAGCACACCTGGACCCACTGAAGCTTGTTCATCATTAACTCATTGATACAGATTTTATTTTTAACCTGTGCATGGATTGGATGACTCATTTACAAGGCTCCCAGAACCACAAAGATGTATGAATGGGATTGGATTCCAGAAATTAATCTAAAAATGGTCAAGCTTTACACAGTATTATGATGGTTTGTTGTGTCATCCTTTATGCACTAGTTTTAGGACATGCAGTATTAAAATCCTGAAGAACATTTGGAAATTATTTCACTATGAGGTAGGTTCAGTGGGGGCAAGTACAGGACAGTAGGTTGTTTGACTTATTTTCAGCAAAGTTTGAGTTAAACCTTGCCCAGCAGTGTGGGCTGACTCCAGGGTGTTATTCCAGGTAAAGCAACACATAGGAGGTTCTTATAGGATTATACTGTACTGTACTGTAGTAATTTTTTCATCCACTTGCTATCATTGAGTCAAAACAAATACAGCTCCTCCCCGACTTACGACGGGGTTAGGGACCCAAATCTAGGTCGAAATGGTCGTAAGTTGAAAATGCTTAAATAATACAGTGGTCCCTCGGTTAACGAATACAATTTGTTCCAGAAAGTCGTTCATTAACCGAAACCATTGTTTCAATGGGATTTTGGGTGATTGGTCCCAGCTCACCGAAAATTACATACAAACTAAAAATAAATGCAGTAAAGTACACTTACTTTGAGGTGTGCATGTAGAAGGCTCCTGGTTGATGATGATGTTGGGAATTAGAAGTGGGGGTGGAGGAGAAGGGAGAAACGAAGACAGTGGGGGTGGAAGAGAAGTCACCCCATGCTTCATGCCGCCATTTCACCCATAAAATTTTAAGTTCACTAGGTGTAATTCAAGATTATTTTCTTTAAATCAATACTGCACTGCATTATATATATTGTCAATATGTAAAATAAATTTAAGAATGACCAATAATTGTACTGTAAAAACGTAAAAATAGTTTATGTTCAAGAGAGTCTCAAGCAAGATGCTTCCTCCACTGAGCAGAGACACAAACTGACGCCATTCTGGGTGAGTCAAGTGGCTGTTTGGCGCGCTAAAAACTAGTTCCCTGTACAGTACTTCAATTATGTTAAATAATTGTTAAAATGACTAAAAAATTTAATATAAGACTGGGAAAATTATTGAATAGTACAGCCTTTTTGATATTTACTCAAATGGTAACAAATTTAAGCCCTAAAACCGATTACTGTATTGGCGGACTAATACTACAGCTGGTGAGCAGCGAAAGCAGATGAAAACATGTTGGGAAAAATTCGTAAGGAATTCGTTTACCGAATTTTTTTCGTTAACCGAATTGAATATTCTTATGGAAGGTAATTCGTTAATCAAAATTTCATTGACCGAGGCGTTCGTTAACCGAGGGATCACTGTACAGGTACTCAAAATGATTACTAAAAATTTTTTCTAGTGCAAACTATTGCATGTTTATATTCAAATTAATCACTATCTTATAAGAATTCCAGCAATGTAAATTATATTCTCCCTGGTCACTTCTGTGACATTTGATAAGCAAAAAACAAAAACTCAAGCTAAAGGACTTAAATAAACAAATAAATACTTCACTAGACCTTCTGCCCC